TGTTGTATTAGTGTTTGTAAATAGGATATCATGTCTGCATCTTGTACAGCAAATAACCACTAGGAAGAGAGTATGCAATGTGTTAATTATTGAAACTGTCATACCAATTTGACTTGAAACTGTGTCATTGCTATTTGTCTCTCAATAAAATTATGGAGAAAAAAATATATATATATAAAATGTAACTAAACATGCCACCTCCAGGATGTATTTGGAACATTTCAATCCATAATATTTATATTACTATCTTCAAGGACACCAGTCCTTGTAGGGAATATGACAGTTAATAAAAATAAATTTAACATGAACTTTACCTTTAAAAACTTTACAATCTGGTAGGGGAAATAAAGCATGTATTTAAGTAACTACAGAATATCCTGCAATGAGATAGTTATAAAATCAGATAATACAAAGCTTCAGAAGTGTATTGAGAGTGTTTGTTTTCACTGAGGCAACCAAAGCCAACTTCGTGAAGAAGTAGCTCACAAAGGATGTCAGGATGAGCAGCCCATGAACTTCTGAGTATTCTTTCCACACACTTTCTGAAACCCCACTTAGTGCTGAGTGCACCCCTGAGTGCTAGGGACAGAAGTGAACAAGAGACCATCGGCAATCTCAAGTTGTTTTCAGTTTGCTAAAGAAAGCAACATGAAATTGATTACTATGACAAAGTGAAAAGAAATAGCAATGGAGATGTTTTTAAATCTGCAAAACAATAAAGACAAAAAAAAATAAAACATGGGAGAGGAGCAGGCCTGCTCTTTAAAAGGGACATCCCTGATGGGAGAGTCAGCTTGAACTGGCATGGAACATGAGCAGCTGAGAACAAAATGAGTCGAGGTCCAGCGCGAAAAGGCACTCCACACAGAGATGGGGCACGGGTGGGGATATCCGTGTGCACTGCAGAGCGTGCTGAAGAGAGCTGGAGAAAGGCCAGAGATGCGGAGATAAGAACATCTGGCCTGGGGCTGGAAGGGACAAAGGCCAGACGAGCTGAAGATACCTCTGGAAACAGCCTCCTGCTGGCTGGCACACAGAGCTAACTTGGAAACAGGTCAGCCATGACTCATTTTTTACCAGGTAGACCACAGATGTACTTAATTTGTACCTAAATGTACTACATTTCTGAGCAAAAATTGCTATTGTTGGTATCAAATATCTCATTCATGAAATGTGTTGTTGCCTTTTTATGTTCAGCTGCCATTGCTGACCACAATCAACTTCCCAGTCTCCCTTCTGTGATGTGCTACTTAATTCTCCTGAGTGTACACTTACAGGTAATAGCTGCCTCTTACTTTATTTCATGATGTACCAGCCAACTCTTTAATGGATTATTGTGGAATATAAAAACAGAAACAATGACAATTCCCAAGCACTATTATCATTCCTCTCTCACTGGTAATCATAATTTTCAGCCACTATTAATGAATGAAGTTGAGCTTTGCCTTTTTTATTACAAATTTAGATAATGTGAATTCAACCTAATTTTGCTTTTTGGAAAATATATTCCGAGGCTGAAGATATAACTCAGTGTCTTAAGCACCTGCTTGGCAAGCACAAGGTCCTGAGTTTGATTTCAGGTACCACAAAAAAAAAAAAGTAAAAATGTATTCCCAAACATGTATTCAGACTCTGGTCATACTTGTATATTTCTCCATACAAAAGAAAAATAAGAGGCAATTTCAAGAAAAGAGCTATATCAATTGGTTAAAAGAGTTACTAAAACATTTCAACATTCTTTGTTTAAAAATGTTTTTGTATATTTCGTAACGTCAGAATGTCATTTTTCTCAAAGCCATCACAAAAAACTACCCTCCACTGACAGCAGAAATCTCTCATGTTTAACTGGATTATGTCATCCTTTTTCCTGAGGCAAGAAGAAAATGTTTCAGCCTATCTCAGCTTATTGAAAATATCTTTTAATTATAGTATGTATCTTATTCTCATACGAAGCTAAGATTAACTTCAGGAAGAAACTGAATAGTAGATAGTAGACCTAGATGCAGGGTAACACAGTGAGAGTCTTAGTACCAAAGACAACACATGATGCTGGGTATTTCTGAATATACTAAAAATATAGTATCAGGATGTCAGGAAAGGCTTTGGAAATAAACATGGGGCAAATACCAAAAATAGGGTGCCTATTCTTTCATAAATCCTATAACACAATGAAACCAGTTAACCAATAGACGTATCCTTCATATTTCTTTGTGACATCTATTAGGACTTGGATGGCCCTAGGAAGGCCTAACCTAACCAGTGCTTGCTCTGTGGCCCTCCTCTCCAGGTTGCCTCTGCATCCAAGCCACGCCTTGCCAAAATTACACACACGTTTGTTATACCATTTGGCTCACATTCTAATAGCCAGCCAGTGGCAGAGTCTTCCCACTTCTTTGTCACAATCCCTTCCTACCCCTTTCTCTCCTATCACAAGGTGCCAAGGTTCTTCTACTGTGCCTTGGGCTCTTCACATTTTATTCTTGCTGCTAAGCTTTGGGATGGAATATTCTCTGAGGTCACAGAAGTCCCATGCTGGTAGCTTCCAGGACCACCGTGGTATTCTGGCAGTATGCCTACCTCTCATAGCCATTTGCTGTTTTCCTCTGGGTGCTGCTTGTGTCTGAAATGTGTTTCTTGGTGCACCCAATGGGCCAACTAAGGATTCTCCCAACTTCAGAATTCTCAAAGAAATGTTTGGAAAGGAGAAGCAGTACTCATCCTGTGACTGTTGTGTTAGCTCTTCGGGCTTTTCACAGTACATCATAAAATCTTTTTCTCTTACCAATTTGTCATCAGTGTTTATACTGTGATGGTCTATGTTGTTGGAATTTGGGGATGTTAGCACAATTTTCTGTGAGAATTCTGTGTGCTTTGAATGATAAGACCTTTGCAAATAGCCCAGTACAAAAGGATGTGAAGACTTCCCTGCACTTTCTTGGGACAGCAGGACAAAACCTACCTGTGCATGCCTTTGCTGGGAGGCTGTCTGCTGAGGAGCTTCACTGTGCGCTGTGGCCTTGAGACCAAGCCCCCATACCTGGGGATGCACTGCACCAGAGACCAGACTGGAAGCCAGGGCTAGAGACTTGGGCCGGGCCACGGTGCCAGCTGTGCACCCTGGAGCACCCTGTTTAGCTTTGCTGCTGGTAACCTCCTCTTCCCCTTCAGAGTCCACGGTAAAGACATACTCAGCCTTGAAGAGGTCACCTTGCTGCATTCCTGGAAGGTTGCTTGCTGCAGGTCCTTTTCCTTGGGAGTTCTTCTCACAGACCTGTGACAGGCAAGTCAGTGTCCCTTGGACTCTCTGTGGTTCATTCCCATGGTTAAAAGTTGCATCAGTGGATTCAGACTGTGGAAGAAGAGCGATGAAAACATTGACACTGGCTCCACGAATGCTACTTTTTTCTTAGCTTACACTGAAAAGTTCAACTTGTTATAAAACATTTTTAATGCATTAAAAAAACAGGCTGGCCTGCAAGAGAGTGGATTAAAGTTGATGGCTTTATTTTCCTAACCACTTATGTATCCTCACCCAAGCACAAACTACTTGCAACTCTGCTTCACAATGAGAGAAAGACACAGACAGACCAGAGACAGAGACCAGACAGGAGAGAGAGACAGAAACACACAGAAGGAAAGAGGAAAGACAGACAGACAGACACAGACTTTCTGTGAAAACATTCATGAAACAAGTGGGAAAATGAGAATGGGGATTGCTCAAGGATTTAGTCAGTGGTCAAGCAAAGTGTATATACTTTTTAAAATCCAAGACAGGGAAAGAAAATTCCATCGAAAGTTGTAAAATAACATAATTTCTCTAAAAGTCTGAAAGGAAATAGAAGTATAAAATGCATAGAAACTCAGACAAAACAATCTAATCTAATGGGAACAATTTATAAACAGGACCTAAAAATTTGGAGACTTTTAGGAGAGAATATCCTTTGCTGTTATTTTACTTTGAATTTGTAAGTCTCAGTTTTTCCTTCCAGTTTTCTGTGAATACATAGAAGGTTTGCAAGACCAGAACTAAGACAGCTTTATCAAGCTACCAAATTTCTTCTAAAACAACAGCCATGTTCAGTGAGATTATATCTGAAAGACTCATCGATTTCCTTGTTTTTATAATGGTTCCTCAGTTGCTATTTTGTTTTCTCTGAAGCTTTTCTATAAGGTTAAATTTATTTGCAGATGAAAAGCTAAGCAACTAAATAACTACTGTCATCAGTCTAAGCCATGCTCACTTGAGTGTCTGTGCTGTGCGTGTGCAGCTTGAGTCAGACCACAGTTACAGCTGCCCCCACCCCCCGACACACACACACACACACACACACACACACACACCATGCAGCCACTGCTGCTGGCAAGCAAGGGTAAAACGTACACCAGCTCTGCTTGGGTTTGTTTCATTGCTCTCTGTTCTTTTACTGTGATATTTTTCCACAGCATTTATTACTACAGATTTTAATATACAGTTCACTTTTGTTTCTGCCTTCCTCAGACAATAAGCCATATGAGTAGTCATTATTCATTAAATTCCAAGTACCAACAATGTAGCATATACGTAGAGTTATTGTGTATATACGTGAATGTGTGTGTTTGTGTGAATGAGGGGCCATTCACCTAATCTAATTTTTAGTTGTTTTTCATTTGGACTTTTTGACTTTTAATATATGGTCTCTCTATGTTGTGCAGGCTGGCTGTAAACTCACTGTGAATGTTATCTCCTGCCTCAGTTTCCTAGGTACTGGGATTAAAGGGGTATACTGTCACACTCACTTAAATATTGTTCAGCTGTTTAAAAATACCAGAAACCTTTCATCTTTTGCAGATGTGATCATGCATCCATCATTGCAGTGAGCAAGTGCGTATTAGCATCCTAGGAAGCGTGGGAGGTTTGCAGCCGAGATTGGCTCATCCTGCTCCAGCCCCCCACTTTCAAAGAGCACAGTATCACAAGATGTCATGAATATGCTGTGTTTGTTCAGTACTATTAGAGAGAAACCTCCTAGAGCTCGTTAGATAGTTGTCAGGGTTTCTCTGAAATAATTTGGTCTCATTTGTCCTGGAAATAAGATAGAAGCATTACAAACTCCACGGTCATAGATGCAGTATATATTAGTACTTCTTAGGAAAGAGCAGCCCATGTTCTGGTCTCATTTTACTAGAAGAATAAATAAAATGATATTAAAATATACTTTAAAGAAAAAAAATTATACCAAATTTTTGTTCTAACACCAATCATTTTCACATATATATTTGTTCAAATTTTACCTCAAGTATTGGCCTAATTTTACGCAGGCATAATCAGTAAATGCAATGCAAGTGGAATTGAGCCTGTGGTATCGTATAGTGCCATATGGTTGATGTTTTTCACTGCATTTCGTAACTGGTATAAATATATCCTTGTCCCAGTCATACACCAGCATATTCTTGCGGTCAGTCCTTAATTTCTAGGAGAAATCAAACTCTCTATTTTTCATGAATTACTTTTATGCATAACATTGTTCTTCTTTTGTGATATTTTCTTGAGATATGTTTCCAAAACCTAGATTACTGAGAGGTTATGAACAGTTTGTGATTGTAGGTAAGAGTTTTCCATCATATTTTATAAATATACAAAACTATCAGCAATGTTTGGCTGTGTCAGTAATTCTACAACTGCCCCAAGATTGGGTATTACTTTTTATATATTGCTAGTATATTACATGTAAAATAATCTCAGGGGTTTTTTTAATGTATTTGGCATGAGGTCTCACTACACAGCTTAGATTTGCAGTGATCCTCCAGTTTTCAGCCTCCCAGCACTGGAATTACAGGCGTGCACCACCATGCCTGGTCTTGGGGGCTGGCTCAGCACACCTAGGGATGGAGCCAGCACAGCATGTAGCGTTGGGGACCTAAGGGGTCCCTGCTCTTGCTTGGTCCATGCTCTCAGGTTTTATCTTTTTTCAGGGTTAAGTCTTAAAGTTTTATTATCTAAGTTTTAATATACTAGGGAAAGTGCTAGGAAGTGGGAATTGCCTTATGAAGAGTAAACAACAAGGTGACCGTTCAGAGGAATTGAGAATACGTCCTTAGAGACAACCTGCAATTTGATAACATGTAGGTTCCTGTTGTATAATTTTATAGATATAAAATTTTATTTTAGTTAATCATAGATTTCAGTCTTACCACTTCAAGCATAGGGAATAAACATTGATACAGATTTCTCAGCCATTATTATGGATAATTTAATACACATTTTTAAATGAAAGAAAAAATAATCCTACCCTATTTACATTTTCTGGACTCTTATCACCTGGCTCTTCAGGAATTCTAACAACATATTGGGAGGTGTCGGCCAGCTGAATGTGGGCAGGAAGTCTTCCAACAGTAGGGACAAAGCTGAAGATGAGAGGCTTGGCTTCAGAGTCCCCAGAAGAGACCTACAAGACATGTCACAGATTAGGCTTTCAGCCTGGCTGGAGCACTACCCAAATGTGGTATTTATCTCTTTTATTTTGATAAATTCCCTCCTATCCTGTGAGAATGTGTATGGCTGCCAAGACATCAGGTCTCAAAATAGCCACAGTGAACCAGACCTTTTCATAATAGCATGCACTGGAGAAGCACGTCACTCCGGGAAGGCCTTGCTGCCAGGGCTGGCCCCAGTCATTGCAGGTCTAGGAGAGTCTCCTCTGGAGTGGCACATCTCAAATACAGCACCTGCTCTATTTCAAATATGGTTTTTATCCATTTGTCCCTAGGTTAGTAGGCTCAGTGGTGACTCAAAATCAACAAGCACACAAATTCCCAACATTTGTCATTTTCAAGAAGGCTGAGTGCAGCATGGTTTCATACACCTGTAATCTGAGGTCTGGGAGACTGAGGCAGCAGGATTGATCTCAAATTTAAGCTTAACCTGGGCAATTTAGCAATTAGACTATGCCTCAAAATAAATATAAAAATAAATTTTGGGGGCCGAGGAGATGGCTCAGCAGAATAAGCGTTTCCCTGGCAAGCACAAGGGCCTGAGTTCAATCCCCGGTTATGCAAAATAAATAAATAAAATAAACTTTTAAAGGGTTGGAGATATAGCTCAGTACAAAGGTCCTGTGTTCAATCCCTAGTACCTAATCCCTAGTAACTGGTATAAAAAAATAGTTAATGTATATGTTTAAAATGAAAGTTTCTATCAGAATACATCCATGCCTGCTTTTGAAATGGCTTTACTCTTAATTCCTAAGTAATTTTATTGAATACTTGCTGCGTGGGAGGCCTATAGGAACAAGGAATCTAACAGTGAACAGAAAGCTGTCAGCAGGAGAAAGGAATGTGCACAGATGCCAGGAGACCACTGAGGATGCTTATCCTTCAGATGATACAAGGCAGAGGTAAGGGTTAAGCCCAAGTGCAGAGACACAACTTTTAAAGTCGCATGCAAACCTGTAGAGACATGTGCAAGAAGCCAAAGGCTATCGTAATTTAACTATGACGTGTCCCTGCCTCCCCCCAAATTTACAGCAGCATTCTTAGGTGGAGCCCAAAGAGATGAGTGGATCACAGAAACAGAGACTGCATCAGTGGGTCAGTCTATTGATGTGCTCACAGGTGAGTGAGCAATGTTAGGAGTCTGGGCTCAGGTGGAGTCAGTAAGGCCCTCCCCCAGCCTCTCCTGCGCTCGCCCTCCCTGCTTCATGGCTGCTGTGGGCCAACAGCTGTCCTCTGTCCGACCCTTCTGCCACAGTGTTTCTGCTTGGAGCCAGCCGACCACCAACCGATACCTCTGAAACCCTGGGCCAAAATAGGCATTTTCTCCATTAAATTGTGCGTGTGAGGGGTCCCAGCCACAGGAAGCTCATGAATGCAGCCTAAACTGCAGATCAGTGGGGGGAGACAAAAGGTGAGGACCTCTTCTTAGGACGTTTGAATGGAAAGTAAAGACAGATGGAAGTGAAAAGCAGAGGGAAGATGGTGCCGTTGTTAGTGTTAGGAGGGAGCATGTCGGAACACGTCTGTAGATGAGGAAGCAGCCAGGAGAGAGAGAAGCAAGGTCCTGGAGTAAGATCAGCTTATTCCTGACCCAAGGAGCACTGGACACTACAAGGAATGAAACGAAGAGGCAGGAAGTGGTGATGAGAGAAGTAAAGGGCTGAAAATGGGAGCACTGAGCAGCTGTTGGTGGAGGCAGCAATGTGAGAGGAAGGAAGCGTGCAGGCCAAGGCAGCATACTGTCAGAAACATTACCCTTTGGGCTATAATACTGGTTTTGTAAAAAGCATATTAGGGAGAGCAACACTGAGCCAGGAAATTATTGTTCAAGGAGAAATAAAAGTATGCCAAGGATACTAAATAAGGAATAGCACCTCCTTTGAGGCTGGAGAGAAAGAGCGTAAAAGTGCTCCTGATGTGGTAGGACAGGGGAAGTGCAGGTGGTGAGAGGAGAATGGCAGTGGTGTGGTATGACCGAGTCTCAGAAAAATCCATGCTCTCTAGTCAGGGTGGCCCTGCCTCTCTGCCACCTCATTGCTTTTATCAGGAGACACATGCCAAGCGTCTGCATGACCTTCCTGCACTGCGAGTCTTGCCTTCGATCCCTCGGAGCCCATGTCTGTACAGGCACCTTTCCAAGCAGTTCAGGCCCATGCTCAGGAGGAACCTGGGCTCTGACTGGGTCCTTACCTCTAACTGCTCCCCATATTCTTGGCTTGGTTTCCTTCTTGCACCCTGCTCCACCTCTTGAAAGCCCTGGCACTGTACCGTCTCTGGAATTTAGTCACTCGCTGTAGAACCTTCCATGTCAATAATTTCTTCTCTGACTCTTTCTTTCCATGTCCTCTATCTAAAGTCCTCTGTTGGCCAAGGAGCATCTCCAGTGGGGGCAAGTTCCCTAACATGCTCACACTGGGACTGGACGTGACATAGGGTAGCTGTCATCCTTGTTCATCTTGCTATTTTCAGTGTATACCTACATACCTTCAGCTTTGACTGTGTAGAGATATAGTTTTGAGACAAAAGCCTGATGTCCCAAGAGAGCAGGGAACACTGGACTGAGCCCGAGGAGGGTTGCTGTCTGTTTGCAAATTCCCGGCAAGCTGGGACCCAAGGCAGCAGATAACAGCTTCTCCTGCAGGCGCCCTGTCCTTTGGTCTCTTGCTTGGGATGTTATGGGCTAGCATTTCTGTGAACCTAGTGTTAGGCAAATGGTGGAAGCCAATAGATATAGTAGTTTGTATTCACTTAGGTAATTATGCACAGTCCTTAGTCTGCCTTGACCCCTCAATAAATGTGAGATGCTGCTGAGGCTCTGGGCTCATGTGGAGAGAGCCTAATCTCAGTGAGACCTCTGAAGCTGCATCCATCAGGTCTTCTCGTCGTTTCTGTTGGCACCGACCCGTAACATACAACAGACTGTCCTGTCATCGGCCTACACTATCCACGTATGTGCTAGTTATACTCATCTGCCAGTTCTCACACCAACCCTTCTTTTCTTGAAGATTTGTTACTGGGTCATTATTGCTCTCCCTAATGCCACGTTTTTACATTACCAAATAGTATATTTCAAATGATAGCTTTTCTAATACTTTTTCCTTCCTTATTCTCACATCTGTAGCCTAGACCATTAGCAGCAAAACCCTCCATGTTTTCAGTTCTTTAATTTTCTGCCCCCAAATCATGCCATACTTCCATGGTCCCTTCAATGCTACTGGCCTACAGAACTCTTTCATGCCTTTTCATCTTTCTTCAAACCACTAAAATCCTCTTTCCCATTCTTACTCTGAACTGATGGCTTCATTTCCCATTTCACTTACATTATTGCAGCAATCAGAAGAGAACTGTAAAGATCCTAAGTCACACCTGCTGATCCGCCTGAGTCTGCCTCTGTGGTGTCCATCCTGAAACTATGCTCCTACTGAAGCCAACCCTCATTTGAACACATTTTCTTCTCTTATGTTGGTATAGTCAAGAAGGCCTTATTAAAGCCCTACTAAATGCTAAGCACTGTTGCAGAGATTGGTGATGAAATAGTGAACAAAATCCCTGCCCTCGTGGAGTTTACATTCAAGTGGAAAGAAGCAGGCAGAAACAGAAAGTGAAACAGTGTTCCCATGAATGCTACGAGGACTTGCTGTAAGGATGTTGCAATAATCCATGGGGAATAAAATGATGGGTTGAACTTGGACGGTTGCAGTGTAGTAGTAAGAAGTGGTAGCTGTATTTTTAAAAGGGAAAATAGAATTGGAAAAGAAATACTACAGATAAGAGATAAGATGAATTAAAAAATTCTTACGAGAGTAACTGCTGTAAATGGGGTGTTATTCACTGAAATGGAGAAAACGACGCTTGACATTGGTGTGAGAAAAGATCGAGGTCAAATCTGTTACATCTAATATACATCTAAGTGCAAATGTGAGCAGGAGTGTGGGGTTAGGAGGGAAGTCTTGATAAAATTGTTAGGGTTCTTCCCCACAGATGGTATGTAAAACCATGAGATTAGATGAGACCACCAAGGGAGTACACACCAACAGGGAAACAAGGTCCACATCTGCCCTCCACAGACTAACAGCTGAGGAAGAATTAATAAAGGTGATGTGGGAGTTTAAAGGAAGATGAAAAAGTCTGCAGCATCAGGGACAGCAGAAGGCAGAAGGCCTGTCCAGACTAAGGCCTGACAGCCTCCCACGGGCACAAACATGTGTAAGTTCATGAATGGGCAGGGGGCCAGTTGCTTGGCTGAAGTCTCCTGGGGGATTCTGAGCAGTCTAGTACAGCAACAGAATAAGCAAATACAGCATTTATAAAATAGTTTGCAGGTAGTTTGGGCAGACAAGAGCTCTTTGGCTCAGAAAAATATATACAGTCCTAAAGTGATTGTTTGAGAGAGCATGTTGAGATTACAACATAGAATGAATTATAGTGGTTCTAGAAGATTTTAAACTCTCAGCTTTGTACTTGAGAAGATTATCTGAGAGGAAGAGCACTGAGTTGGTGAAGGTCAAAGAACTGTGAAGCAAGAATGTACGTAAGGCTATAAAAAGTAAAACCATGCAGGGCCATATCATGACTGGGCTTGGCAGAGCAGCTGAGAACATTCTAGAACTTTCTGGAATAACTGTGAGAATCAGGTCAGAAGACTTCCAAAGATAGGCTACACGGAACCCTAGATTATCAATTAGTGATAATTTTGCAGGCATGAAATAAAGCTATATATCCTAGTCATTTTCACTCAAGTTTTAGAAAACACGACAAATAATTTTGTACCATTTATTATCAAGCATAACTTTCTATTAACTAAAACACTACTTTTTGGTCACTAAATACACCTTGTAGAAATGATGCATAATCCTTAGGGTGCATAAAATATACAAACCCTTTGCACCAAACTTTCATTTTTCAATATTCTTTTCTGCCTGTTAAAGATGTTTGTTATTATCTTCTTATTAGA